CCTTTCCCTAAATCCACTGAACCTTCTGTAGGTGTGTATTAAAGCATCTGGTGAATAGGTTACAGTCACTGTTCACACGGGTAGCGAAAGTGTTTTCAAAACCTCTCTAAGGGCACAGCGTAGTCTGTGCTTTTAAAGTTTCTCTGTAAAGAGTCAAAAGTAGCTGGAATAATTTCCATCTTTCAGACTCATCCGGGACCAGTTGCTGGAAGGAGACTTCACTCTGAACATGAGGCTGCTACAGGTAAGGATTAAATATAGTGGACATAGGGAGCAGTTTGAAAAGTCTTAAAATAGTACTGTGAGAGAGGAGGATGGTATGTGAGAAGGCAGAAGGGTATGCTTGGCTCAAGAGAAGTACCATATTTCTGATGTCTGCATGCAGGAAAATCTGCAGGGGTCTTGCAGCACACTCAGTAATGAGAGGGGGAGTCTTTTGCTTGTGCACCCATTCTAGCCTACAGAGAAATTGAAATAGACTGCAGGTTTCTAATGTTTGTTTGGTTTGCAAAAAAAATGAATAATTTTTGAGCAAAGATGTGAAACCCTATGTAACACTTAAATTTTTTTGGCCAGAGGGTTTTGTTCTAAGATCTGTGAGAGCCTGAGGCTGGAAACACCTGCACTGCACAGTTGGATATCTCAGGTTCTGCCAGTTCCTGCTTTAGGCTGTGCAAGATACTGGCTTTGATAAGGCTGTCTGGCACAAAGAGAGCCCTGGGGCAGCCCAGGTTACTGTGCCCTTGGAGGACAAAGTAAAACGACAACAAACCTCCTTGAAGGGTATTGAGGTTTGATCAGTTACAAAACAGGAAACTGTAGCTGTTAAGGGAGTAACAGAACATGGCAGTGTGTTATTATAGGCCAAGAATGTTGTCAAGGTTTGCTCTGCTTCAGTCAAACAGTCTGTACCAGGAGTGCTGGCTCGTCACTGAAATCCCTTTGTTTCTTTGCCATAGGATTATCCTATCTCCGATGTTCATCTGATTTTGAAGAAGGCAAAGGAACTTCAGGATTCCAAATAGTCCATGGGCCTAACAAAAGGTGTCAGAGAAGCTGTGGCAGTGGATCCCAGGAGATGCCTCCATGGAGTGTGGTGCACTAGCTCTTTGTGGTCCCTGCAGGACTTCAGGTTTTGTTTGGGCTACTGGCCACCTTGAAGACTTCCTTCTACTCTATTTATTAGGTCACGGACTGATTACTTCCCCAATTACTTGGGTCCTGCACTCCAGATTTTTCCAAGTCTCAAATGCCTCCTTGCTGCCAAAAGCAGTTCTTTGTATTTTTTTTTTAATGACTTTAAGTTTGGAGAGAAAGAAACCTTCTGTCTGCATATAACTGAAGGGATGGACTCCTGTATCATGGAAGTAACATTCGGAGTAACTTCTGATGGGGAAAGGACAGACTGAGTCCAGTGAATTTTGGTGGATGAACATAGAAGGATCTTCCTCCTGTGAACAGAATGTATTCCAATGAAGTCACACAGTCTGCCATTCAAGTAACTTCTGGATTCTCCTCCCTCGTGTCTGCACTTGGCCATCCCTGAGGTGTGTGAAGAGGAAGATGGAATCAGTTTCTGGTGATTGGACCCCTTTGCCTGGGAAAAGGACTTGGGAAGGTGAGAAGGGAGGACACGGTGACAGCTGGTGGCTTTGTGCACTCAAACTGCCTGAATCCAGAACCGCCTTATCAACGAGGTCTCCCTGAAATCAAGACTGGTGGTTTTAATCCCTGAGTGTAGTTCCAAGTCAAGCCTTACCACGCACAGCCTTAGAGCAGGATTGTTGCTGCAGGGGGGCCTCAGGCTGCTTTCCTGGCTCTGAACTGGAGCATATCCAGCTACAATCAGGATCCTGAAACACAAGAAAAAGACACCTGATCATGTGCAATGAAGACAGAAAGACGAATGTGTCATTGCAGGCACAGCACTGGGGTTTTCTGCCTCAGTGGCTCACATAATACTACCCTGCATTGAGCTCTGGTCACACTAACCTTGGTATTGTCTCAAAGTACTTTTTGCCAGGAAGAGATGTGGTACAGCTCTGACCTAAATAAGAGGTCCTTTTCTGGCACAATCCAGCAGCTACACAAGAACCTGTTATTAGTGACTGCTGGGGCTGATCCACTGCTGTGTGCTGGTCCTATTGGAGTCAGCCCTGAGTTGGACACTTGTTCCTCTTGAGAGAAACCTGCTGTACTTCAGATACAGTCAAGCAGGCTCAGGTGAACATGGACTGAGATAAACTACAGAGGGAACTGCTGACCTGCCCCACTGTCGAGCTGAGCAGAAACCCTGAACCTCAGAGGGAGACAGTGCCAGCACCCAGGTGCTTGGGTGGTGCAGAAGCTCTTTATTGAACACTAATCCAGCGTGCTTTTCCCTTTCTTTCTGTGCTGTGCTGGCTCACCTCTGTGTGGCTCTTTCACACTGCAGTCTTTGGTATTTATGGGTATTAATTTGTTAAAGGTCAGTCTTTGTAAGACCTACTTAAGCTACTGCTGGCCTAGAGTCACCCTAGCAGGAGGGATGTGGGCAGCCTTCAGCTTTTCTTACTGGTGTCATTCCCTTCACTGAAGGCCAGTTCTTCACAGGCTGCTGTAAATCTCACAAAGGTGTGTGGGGAGACTGCAGGACGGGTTGGTGCATGTTCCTGTGTTCTTGTTGGCAATCCCAAGCAATCTCTGCCTCTTCAGAAGATGCTCGAGTACCACAGGTGCAGCCGGGTGTTGCTGCTGTGTTGCAAGAGCAACTGAAGGTTTAAAGCAATCTGTAATTAATACCTGTGGCAACACTATCCCTCTCTGCTGCAATCTTTTCTAGAGGGTACAGTTTTCCTCCGAGGAAAATGGGACAGGTAAACCAGGACAGCTCTGTAATGTCTGCTCTAGTCACTGGGTGGATGTTCTTCTTTCTGAGCTGTTCCAGGTGGTCCCATGGACTCAGCTCTTGGGGTACCAGCACTAGGGAGGCTGTTGGCCAGACCTTGTGTGGCCAAACAGCCACCTGGGAGGTTCTCTCCAAATGTAGAACCAGAGGGGGTCACACTCTGTGGCAGAATTGGACCTTCTCCAAACACTTCAGCCTCAGAACTGCTCTAAATGCTGCTGCAGCTCTCCCATTCCATGTACAAGCTCTGCTCTCACCTCCCTGAATATCTGGCCTGGGCTGTCCACTTTGAGTCCCCCTGGCAAGTGCAGGGATTCCCTTATGCTGGATTTTCTCACTGGTAGTGGGACCATCCATGAAGGTTCCCGCTCTGAACAGCTGGAAGTCTCCCTAAAGTAACCTTGAGGAAGCAGCAGGCAAATCAGGATGAAAGCATTACTTGGAGGTGAACTTTGCACATTTTCAGAGTAGCTTTGTGCCCTGGGGCTGACCTGCCTGGGCAGGAGCTGGGCTGGAGCGTTGCACACACTCAGGGAAGGCAGAGGGGACGTGCAGGTGGCTGTTGGGTGCGGGTGTCTTGCTGTCTTCTCCCTTCCTTGGTGTCCAGGGGCTCATGTTGTGGCACCTTACCTTGGGGGGTGACAGTAACTGCCTTAGAAAGGAGTCTGCAGTGGTTTAAAGGGATGTGATGAGAGCTTTGGCTGCTGGAAAGGTTCTCTGGGATAAATTTTGTAGCCTTATCCAGACTATGGCTGCTAAATTGATTGAGTTCTTTGGGGAGAGCTTGGAACATCTTTAAACCCAGACAGGCTGGTTCCCACTTAAGCTGCTTTATATTCCTCCTTTTTTCCCTCTTCTGTGGTAGGACTTCTGTCCTGCTGTTGAAAGGAGTTGACTTTTCAGTGACTAGGGACCTTAATTCTTTACTCCAACAGTTTCTCCTTTTTTTAAAAGCAAAACTGAGGGGAGAAAAAAAAGTCTTATTACCAGCTTTTGAATCTTCTCATGAATCCCTTGGCTTCATTCCTCAAAGGCTTTTGGTGATTTATTTTTGTTGTTGTTGAGATGAGATGATACTTAAATAGTGGTTCCTTTCTTGTGTGACCAAGTAACAACTACTCCAGCCTTGAGATGTTTCCACCTCTGCTTTCATTCAATCCTGACCTGCAGCAGCAGCAGCAGAGTTGGCTGAGGGAGCAGTTCTTTGGGGTGGGAGGTGTTGACAGGACACTGTGCTGGGTGTGGGGTAGGATGAGCCTTCCCTGGGAGGGACAGGTCTGCTCGACCTGGACGTCTCTGGAATTCAGGAAACTGTGGCTTCATCAATCAGGTAGAAGCAAGAGGATACTAGAGATCAAGTTGTTCGTGGTGGTCACTCAAAGGACTGATTTGTGTGACCTAGACTGGAATTATTCACACTTTGGCAGTGAGTAGAATGAAGGCTAGAAGTTGCTTAAGGGGTGTTTGGGGAAGCAGAGGCTGTTTTCCCTTAAGGAATGTCAGTCTTTGTTTTAGCTGTTTGGGGCGCTCCTCTAAAACGCCCTTTCCCCAAAGAAAGGAACAGATAGCACTTTTTTTTTTTTTCCACCTTGCTTGGAAAGAATTGCCAGAACAGTGTGTAGTGAACACTTCATCACTCTAAAAGGCCTTCCTCTACGCTTCTTTTTAAACACTATTTTTATAACGCTTCCCTAACTAAACGGGGTGACTTCGTGCAAACCTCTCCCGGTGCTGTGACCGGAGTTTGGGCTGCCATGTCCATAGTGTGAGCGGCTGGGCCGGGCCGTCCGAGTCTTGGGGCCCAGCCATCTCCTCCTTCCCGAGGTGGTTTTGCTTTCCCTTCCCAAGCGCGGGAGCGGTGCCTTTCCCCCTCGGCCGCGGTGTGAGCGTGGGTCCTGCGCCTCGCTGACCGCTGGGTGCTTCTGTTCTGTGTCCCGCTCCCTCTCCCGTCCGGTCACTCCCGGTAAATCCTTTCCCGCTCCCATCCCGGGATCGCAGTGTCCGCGTTGTCCCCGCGCCGTGCGCGCGCTGCCTTAAAGCGGCGATGCCGCCCCCTCATCGCGGCCGCCCCCGGCGAGGCCGCGGCCCGCTTTAAGCGCCGGGGGGGGTGGTCCCCACCGGCACGGCCATGCTGCGGGCGCGCTGGGCGCTGCCGTTCGCGGTGGGCGCGGGGCTGGGGGCGGCCCTGGCCCCCCGGCACCGCCGGGATTCCCCGGATCCGCGGGGCGAGGCGGCCGAAGGGCTGCTGGCCCGGCTGCCCGTGCTGCCCGCCGTGGCCGCGGCCACGACCGGCCTGCCGGCCCCGCCGGGCTCGGGGCGCACCGAGCTCAGCAAGTACGGGCTGCCCGGGCTGGCGCAGCTGCGGAGCCGCGAGTCCTACGTGCTGTGCTACGACCCGCGGAGCCGCAGCGCGCTCTGGGTCATCGAGCAGCTCAACCGGGACACGCTGAGCGGCGCCTCTGACCGCGCCGCCTGCGACTTCCAGGAGGACGACTCGGTGCACGAGTATCACCGCGCCACCAACGCCGACTACCGCGGCAGCGGCTTCGACCGCGGGCACCTGGCGGCGGCCGCCAACCACAAGTGGAGCCAGAAGGCCATGCGGGACACGTTCTACCTGAGCAACATCGCCCCGCAGGTACGGTCCGGAGCTGCCCCGGCCAAGGGCAGACGCGAGAAACCACCTGAGAGGGCTCTGCGTTTGTCCCTCGGGGTAGAGGCGCTGTGTTTGACCCTCCGGGCAGAGAGGGGGCAAAGTCACCCGGAGGTGTTTCCTGCTGAGTTTAACAACTGCAAAGGCACCTGCATGTGCCTCTCAAGCCGTGAGAGACCCCTTTCAGTGCAGTTAAATACGTGGACAGACACTTGCAAAAGTTGTGAGCTAAGCAATGGGCCCTGTCCTGGGTGTGCAAACCAGAACCTCACCGTGCACAGCTTCCAAAGCAAAAGTGGTAGTGGAGATTTAGGATTTTATGATCTCTTCTGGAAAGTGCGTGAGGCACTGTGAGATGCCTTAACAGAAAAGGCAGGTGTGTTACTCTGAACAGTGACGAAACTCACCGCTGGTTGTGTTTCTAGAATCCTCACTTAAACCAGAATGCCTGGAATAACCTTGAGAAGTACTGCAGGAGCTTGGCAAAGCACAACAGGAATGTTTATGTCTGCACAGGACCCCTCTTCCTGCCCAGGTAAACACGAGGGCTGAGCTGGGATGGCACCCGAAGGGTGCATTGTGCTGGGAAGGAAAACAGGATCAGGTGCTCCTGCCCGCTCAGTAGGTGAGACCAGCTGTGCACAGAGGTTCTGTGGAAAGGTACTTTCTTAGGATTAGGATACAGTTTGTACATTTCCCATCCAGTTGATTATTTCATGAGTAAGGGTGGGTTTCTTGAGCTACAGTATGACCAAGTTGCTTTCGCTTGCAGTCCTTAACAATTTAGTAATTACTAGATGATTAGATTAACAGATTTGACTGCAGACCCCATCACTGTAGAATAAAGCTTCCAGGTTTTATTTCATGGACTACCACTCCACTTAAGGGCACGACTTTATTTGCAAAGATCTTCACTTAGCGCTAAAGAGCAGCTATCTCATGCTGAGATCTCTTCAGCAGCAGGAAATAGCTTGGAAGGGCTGTTACAGAGAGCCAGCAGGGAGGGGCTTTGGGGGGAGCAGACCCAATGCACAGCTCAACCTCCCTGTGTCACGTAGCCTCTGCTGCTGTGGGGTGGGGGCTCACTTAGGAGGGTGTTGGAGGGCTGAGGGGGTGGAGGTGGCACCAGACTGGGAGATAACCTGGGATGTTGCTGTCGGTGCAGGACAGAGGCTGATGGGAAGATGTATGTCAAGTACCAGGTGATTGGGAAGAACAACGTGGCTGTCCCCACCCACTTCTTCAAGGTGCTCATCTTGGAAAAGGAGAGTGGGGAGATCGAGCTGCGCTCGTATGTGATGCCCAACAGCCCCGTGGATGAGAAAATCCCCCTGGAACGGTTCCTGGTCCCCATCGAGAGCATCGAGAGAGCCTCGGGGCTGCTCTTTGTCCCAAACATCCTGAGGAGAACAAGTAACTTGAAAGCCATCACAGCTGGGAGCAAGAGTTGAACCCTGACTAAGCAAATCCAGGCATCCCCTGGGAAGGGACTGAGAGCAGTGACCCACAGAATCATAGTTCCTTGTGCAATTTTAAATGTGGGAAGAATCAAACCAATGCTTCTTTCTACCCCTTCCCCTCTTTTGTGTGACAGTGAAACACAAACACAACGCACAGCAGATCTCCAGGGAGGTCCTCCAAAGACTCCTGGGCACTTGACACTGTAGCAGCTCTCTAGACTAGAATTTGTCCCTAATCCACTGCTCCCCTGGAGTTATGTGAAGCTCCTTAGAGCACATAGGGAAGTTACTAATTTTTGCTGTTTATCAGGGAAGGATGGGAAGCAAGATGGGTACAGTGGGAGGAGAGGAGAAGTTCCTGCCTTCCTGTGGCCAAAGGATTGTGTGATTGTTTTCTTTCAGAAGATGGTTTTAGCAGTAAAGCTTTGACCACCCATGGTATTGGTTGTTTCTTATCTGCTCTCACCAAAGCTCTGAATATCTCAGGAGGAGGAGGGGAGGACACAGCCAACTTTTCCAGCTGCTTTCCTGTCTGAGCTCACTGTAGGCAGAGCTTAAGGCATCACAGATGGAGCCAAACTGTAATGAGCTGATGTGTTTTAGTGCTGTGGCCAAACTGAAACTCCAGCTCTTCCTGGTGTTGGGAAGGATGAAGCCTTGGAGTTGAAAGGGGGGCTGGGGAAGTCACGCTGAGGCAAGAACAGCTTCTTGGCATAAGGATTAAGCTTTGACTTCCTTTCAGTCTGAAAGCCACATGGCTCCAGAGTCACTGAGTGTGCAGGACCTCTACACGGTGAGTGCCCATCCTCTACATGAAGTCACACCTGGATTCGAGGCAGCTGAGGTTCCATACTGCTTTATTCCCACCCCAGATGTCGGAATTGCTGAGACCCAGCCTGCTGCCAGGCTTGTCCCAGCTGCTGGGCCATGCAGGCAGGAGGGCACAGACTTGTTCCCAGCAGCAGCCGAATTCTTGGCTGGACAGCGCTGCCAGCTTTGGTCACGCTGTGCCTCGGCCCCGCCAGGCTCTCGGAGTGACTTGCCCAGCACCCCTTGTTTGAAGAGCTGCCTCCCCGAGTCCTCAGTGGCTGCCAAGGTCAGTGGTTTCCCTTCCCCTCAGCTGTCCCTGGTGTCTTCACAGCCTCTTGGATGTGGGGTCTGAGTGCGGACAGGGAGATCAACAGCGCTTCCTGGAACAGAACCGAGTCAGAGCTGCTCTGAGAGCACCAGGCAAAGCAGCTGCTCCCCGAGGGTCACTGGGGAGCCACACACGGGCCACAGGTGTCACTGCCACAGGCAGAAACCCAGCCCTGCCCTGGGCACACCCTGCACCGTCAGCCCCCCACCTCTGTGCGGATGGTCCTGCTGCCCTGGCCGGGGCAGGTGTTCAGGTAGAAGTCAAAGAGTGTGCTTGGGTCGGTGACCTCCAGGTTTGGATCCACATCAACCCCGGCTTCCAAGCCTTCAAGGCCTCCAAACACGACAAGGGCATGCCTGGGAAGAGCACAGGGACAGGGTGAGAGGGCAGAATCTGCAAGAAGCAGGCTCTTTTCTTTTATTCAGGTGTCTGGGTCTGCTTTCAAGCTCCTGTGTGCTGCTGAAGCAGGGAGCTGTGTCCCTTGCTGATGGTGCCCAGTGCAGCTGCCTCCCCACCAAAAGCCCCGCAGCATTTGGCCAATGTGACAATCCCTGCTACCAACTCCAGAGAAACAGGAAAGGAATTGGCCTTGACCTGGGGTACTTCCCCAGCTTCTGGGACACAGAGAAATGTGCCTTGGTGTAAAAGGGAGCAGCAGAGCACTGGAGGGAGCCTGTGGGTAAGTCTTGCACTTGGATCTAGGAGCATTCCAGCCTGGGAGGACACCAAGGCTGCAGTGCAGCTCTGCTGCCTGCACCAGCCTCACTGGGGGCTCTGAGAGGGGCCAAGCAGGTGAGACACAAACCTGAAGGAGGGGAGAGTGACCTGGTCCACGGGGCTGCCCCGCTCTGAGGTCCCAATGGAGAGATCGTAGCCTTCCTTGAACGGGCACTCGGAAAAGACAGCACCTGGGAAGCACAGTCTGGGGTTATTGCTGCAGTGCCCTCACCCATGTGCCTTCAGGACAAGGTGAACTAGTGCCACTGGTGCATCAGGAGACAGAAGAATGATTCCTCTTTCCCACATAAGTCCCTTGCTCTAGGAACCTCCCACACCTTTCTCAACAGCAGCACCTTCTCCTCAAAGCTCATAACACTGGTGCTAGGAACCATTCCTTGACTAATAGTTTTCCTAAGAGGTCCAGTCAACCAGAACTCAGGAAGAGGGCTCTTGAGCTCAAATGTCACTGCTGGCTCTGGTGGGAATGAGTGGGATGTTGTTATCATGGAAACTCATCTCCTGCTGCTGTGCAGCCATTTGGAGAAATGGTGAGTGGAGATACAGGGCAAAGTTCTGGTGGGTGACTGGCCCCTAAATTTGGCTGCCAGATGGCTGCTAACTGCATGTGTAGGCTGCCTTTAAGATGAGAGATTTCTGTGGAAGATGTATTAATATATTTAGCCAGTAGGCCTGAAATTGGTGGGCAAGCCCAGGCAGAGCCCTGACAGAGAGCAGGGAATCCCTGCCAATACTTACTCAGGCAGGAGGCAAGGCGAACACTGTACCCCCAGTACAAGCCCGAGACCGTCCGGGGGTGGTGTGAGGACACCACGGTGCCTTTGTGCACTTTGGCTTCTGGAAGGGAAGCAAGGAGATGATCAACCCCTGTAATCTGGTGAGATTTGACCAGCAATTTCTCCCGGGATAGGGCACTGAGTTGGTGTACAACATGACCCTCCCTTTTTCCAGAATGTGAAAAGGGATTCTAGGAATTCTGCGAGTTCTGGAAAAGTGTGCAGGTGTGTTTGGGGTGTTCACTGTTGGTCAAAGAGCTGGTAGTTCTTTCCAGTAACAAGGGAGGCAGGGTAAGGGTGTTACTAAACTGTGTGTGAAGGGAAGGTGTAGAACTGTTGGATACCTTCAAACCTGTGCTATGGAAGGACCAGCTCCTGCAGCTCTGCAGTTCATAGATGCTACTGGAGCCATGGATTACCTGGATTCTGGGGCTCCTCCAGGCGCACAGTGACTCTCAGACCAGGGTTCAGCTGCTTGTTGATCTGCACCTCCTGCAGTGACAGTCACCATCATTGTCAGGCATTCTGGAAGGACTGGGGAAGGTGGGGAAGGAAGGGAACCCTCTGAGGAAGTGGGGGTCTGTTCCAGCCTGGACTTGGAATGAGGAGCTCTGCGTGTGGCTCAGGGCCTTGGGCATCACTCTGAGACTTATTTTACTGCTCAAAGGTTCAGCTGCAGCAGTGAAGCAACAATGTGCTGGAATAGGCAGGGCCTTCCAGGGGCTTGGGAAGCCACAAACATTGGAGAGCCCGAAGGGACAAGACAGCAACAGCCTTAAACCCCCTGCCAGCCCGCTGTGGCCTTCAGAAACCCAGCAGTACCCACCCTGCCTGCTTCAGATCTGCCAGAGAGACAAGGGGGATTGTTTTGGGGACCTGTGGGTAACAGACATACCTTCCTCATCCCACAGTTAACAAAAGAACCTCTGCCTGGCTTCGATGGCCGGTCCAGCACGACGCCCTCCCGGTATTCCGAGTCCTCATCCACCCGCATGTGGTGGGGGCTGTCCAGGGGATTGAGGAGCCCTGGAACAGCACACAGGGAAGAGCTGCTGAGAGGAGGACAGTGTAATTGCCCTCCTGCCCCCTCCCTCCCAGTGTCCCTGAGCACCTCACTGGCTCGGTGAAGTGGGGAACAGTTATCGAGATCTGTGTGTCCCACACAAAATGAGCTCAGGAGGGACAGAGACAGCTGGATCATTACCTGCAAACTGCAGATCCTCGTGTTTTGGAAAAAAGGTTTTTCTCAAGTACCTGTTACGAGAGAAGGCTGAAATGTGAAAAGTTGTTTTTATGGAATCCAAGCCTCAATTCCAACCCTGTCTTGAGTCAAAGGTGCTGAGTACAGAGAAAAGCAGGCTTAGCTTCTTCAAATCCCTGATCTACCTCGAAGGTATCATGCAGGTTGTATCCTGCATTCACTGCTCCTCTTTCAGTTAAACTCCTGAACTAGACAAGTGAAACAATCAGATCCTGTGTTCCTCCATAATTATATGATACAAACAGAATTTGCCTCCTGCTCCCACAGCCTCTGGTGTGAGGTACCCAGGGCAGATGGATCTCATGCACAGTCTGACCATGGTGGACTTACTGAGGGCACTCCAGGTACTGCAGGACCCGAGCCAGCTGCACACAAGCCTTGCCTTTCTTCCCAATTCCTTTAAAGTCTCCCTCCACGCTCCTGAAAGAAAAAGAAAGGAGCTTCAGGACTGAGTCTGAGGTTGGTCAGGCCTCCAGAAGACCAAGTTTGGTTCTTAATCTGAAAATAGCAGCACACCCCTTCACCCCTTGTAAAAGGGCTGCTCATCTTTGGAACTTTCTCCATAAGCCAGGTATCTTTTTCAGTTTTGTTTTTTGATCTTTGTGTGTTGACACAACCTGGCACTTGGATTCCACTGAGCTGGATGCTCCAGAATTGCAGGGCTTGAGCAGTTAGCACAAGGGCAGGTCCAAGTGAAAAGCTGAAGGACAGGAATTATTCTTCTAAAGGGATATAGGCATGTCCTGTCCCTCACAGCAAGGTTTAAGACTACAGGAGAATTTGACCTCCTCCTGGTTTGTCATCCCCGTGCTGGGATAAAACAATCCTGGTTGCCAGGGCTGTTCAGTCAAAATCTTTTCCCAGTGGTAGAGGGGTCCCTGTAATCCTGGCATTTGAGAGAGGTCCAAACACTTGCATGAGGTGCACACAGTTCCTTCCTGGACTCAGCTTCGTCAAAGACTGAAGGAACTGAAAGCTGAGAGGAAACACTTTGTGCAGAACAGGATGGTTCCTCCTTCATAGAATCTCAGAATGGTTTGGGCTGGAAGGGACCTTAAAGTTCATCTTGTTCCACCCCCTGCCATGGGCAGGGACACCTTCCACTAGCCCAAGTTGCTCCAAGCCCCGTCCAACCTGGCCTTGGACACTTCCAGGGATGGGGCAGCCACAGCTTCTCTGGGCAACCTGTGCCAGGGCCTCACCACCCTCACAGGGAAGAATGTCTTCCTAAAGTTGCATCTAAATGTGCTCTCTTTCAGTCTCCCCCTTACTTCACATCCTCTCCCTGCTCATCAAACACCACGATCTCGTCCACGCAGAAGATGGCGCAGGCCCGGCCGATCTGTCCCGCCAGGTACGTGCGGAGCTCCAGCGACTGCGCGTTGTTCAGGATGGAGCCCGGCAGGGCCACGCTCAGCGTGTGGTGACGGCCTGGGGACAGAGGGAGCCGTGAGAGAGAACCACGGCTGGGGGAGCAGAGCCACGGCCTGACAGCTGATGTACCGCATCACAGTTACTGCTTCAGCTG